TGATGGAACAAAAAAGAGAAAACACAAAACTTTACCAAATAAAAAGGAAACAGGAATTAACAAAAATAAAAATGTAATATTTGATGTAAAATAGAAAATAAAAAAAGGAAACGAGAGCGAGGTTTACAAGGTCAAGTGGAGAATGCATCAGATCAAGGAACCACGACGAAAAGGAGGACAAAATAGAAGAAAGAAGAGCAAAGGATGACCCTATACACCCACAGGTTTGTATCCATAGGGGAAAATTGAAAAGGGATTAAAGAGAGGGGGGCGAGCGAATACTTCATTTGTATACAGTTCTTAAATAGGGCCTATACATAAACCATACGTTTTAACACTGCCAATTGGTAAAATACATACTCGTCGTTTTTAAAGTTTAGGCGCTATTACTAATCTAGGCCTGTTTCAATTAGATTAGTTGACTTAATATAGGCATATAAACTTTCATTTCGCAGATTCAATGCATCAACAATAAAATTACAATATTCAAAATAGAAATCTTATATATAAAATGTCAGATGAAGTAAACACAATTCAGTCGCCGATTACAAACTTTTACTGCGAGCCCACTGAGTTGGTCTATGCAAAGAATACGGTAGTAATTTCATGCGTTCATTGACGACCGGAGATGACCTGCACCACATTTCTTTATTTCTTTTCCCAACCAACAGCAAACACAAAGTTCGCCACTTACAGGAGGGCACAATTCTATCACTGTCCTCAACATCCATGTTAATAAACTTTTGACTGTTACCATATTATACGCACATGAGTGTATATTATAATATGGTTCCTTCGAATGTGAATGGTTTCTGTATAGTGTATATTTTTTTGGTCAATTTTTTCTTCCGTCTTTTTATTTATTGTAAATAAACTTAACATGGATATCGTTGCTACTACTACGATTTTAATGTTTTCCATGATTATGACGTCATCTGATTTGATTTGTCAAAATATGTTGTTATCGCATAACTGATAAATCGTTATCGAATCGTTCTAGTGTAAAAACCTCTCTTATTTCTTTTATTTTCTATATGAACAATTGCTTTCCAGCTTTTTTATCGTTATCGTTATCGTTGAAGTATAAACAGGCCTTAACACGGGGCTTAACATATTCAATACATTACCGGAACTCTGAATATAGTGATCTTCATAACATTATTCTAAGAAAATATTCTATACAAAATGAGTTTACCTTATTTTGCAGATTGTAATGAAAACTCTTAGATCAATATCCTCGATTGGTGTGAGGTTTTGTTGAAAGGGATGTGAAATTAAACATTGGAAGTTTTGTTATCGTTAACGAACTATGTCGAGTTCAACTAGAATGAAATGATAAAAGACGTGCTTTGACGTATGAGTGTTGCTAATGGGTGCAGTCTGTGTAGGTTGCATCTGGCTGCTTATCGTTTTTCACACCATTTGTCATCGATCGGATGATCTTTCGTGGCGATTAATTTTCTGGGTACATGTTGGACAGTAGGCTTGCTGTTCAGATAGAAAACAGTTCGTGGGGCATGACAACGCGTTTTCCAAAAATGAATAAGTCTAAGTATCCATTTTAAAGAAAATTGGGAAAATGCTGTTAAATTACTGTTTATTATGTTTATTATAATTACAAAATAATATATACCCAAGAACACATCTCATTATAAGTTAACATGACATGTATATTAACATACATTACTGGAATAAATAATCTACACAGTTTGTTCTAGGATAGTAGCAGGTGCTACCAGAATTCATTCAACGACTTTCCCGAATGTGTGTTTGTGGAGGGGGGGGGGAGGGAGGTGACAGTTTTTGGACGGACAGTAAGCAGGGTCAAAGGGGCCCTTGTGTGTACCATAGGCTATCCACTGGAGCTTAGAAAAACTGGGCAATTTTGGGCCAATTTAAGCCTAATTTGATTTTTTCAGCACGTACTTTGAAATTACAGAGATGTTCGGAACCTATATTGGCGTGACACCGGTCAGTCTAAACTGGACTGGTATTACTTCATTATGGACATTTATGATTGATGTTGACAGGGTGATTAATTAGACGACCTTTACACATTATCCTTCTATCACAATTCACGTCCAAATATTATTACTATACTTCTCGACGGGGTATCGTTCATGTATGCCTACTTAGCAGTTGGTAGGCCTACCTTCTGCTCGACACTCCTAATGAAATGAACAGATAACAACCCTGATGAGAAGTAGGCCTATGTGTATACGTTAAGATATGCTTCTTACAGAGGGGAACGCCAAGGCGATTATTTAAAAAAAAAAAAAGACTTTTAAGGAATGATAAAATGATTTGGTTACTTGAAATTAAACTAGTATAATATTTGACAAATTAAGTAAATATATCAAAAGACATATATTGGTTAAATAATTTAAACATACACCAAAATAATTATGTATAATATTCTTGAATTCAGAAAAAGGGAGAAAAGCCTCATCCAGGAGAACCAATGTTGTGGATTATTGCACCCGCTGTTTTACACCTATTTTCGAGTTTGAACAGGCGCGAAAGACGCATGTCTATCGTTTAAATGTATGCTCATCATTATCTGGGTACCACATGCAAACCCAGTAGAAGTGTTGTCAATATAGGCCTTAGGTGAAGTAGGATAGGCCTACAGTATGACGTATTTTCTACGTCCGATTTAAAAATCAAAATTGAACTCGACACCCATACAGCTGAAATGGTAGTCACATCCACACTCCATTGGAGTCACGACTTAAATTCGATTGCTTTACTTATACGCAGAGTGATCAAAGGCGATGAAAAGATGAATAGAAAAAAAGCTTCGTACCGTACGTGTCAGGCTCGATATGAAAAACACCAACTTGAAGCATTTGTTACGTCTCACTTCAATCATTCAAGACTTTGGTTCAGACAGTACTTGAAATGAGTCAAAGTTAACTTCAATCAAAAACAGCCTAATGCAGTACAACATCAGAATAAAAAAACAAATCACAGGGAGAAAGTTTTTTTTAAAAATAAATTAAACATAAGTTATGATGCGTTTATAGTACATATAAAACATGCGATCTAGATTAATTACAAATACAGTTTCAGTTTCGAACAATGAACACTTTTTCTGATATCAGAATCTTCGTAATCTATTTGGAAGATAGGGGATTGAGTGTCCAGTGTGTGAACCATGCAGATTGGTAGACGTCGCACTGAGGCTACCGGGGTTCCTTATCCGAATTTTCTTGTTCATTCTACATTGTATTGAGTTTTAGGCCTAGGCGCTCCTATCTGATGTTTCTTTTCTTTGTCATTTACTTTTTACTGAAGGGTAAGACAGGCAACTATATGTGATTATAGGATCAACTCAGCATGGTGTTTCTCTACTGGAAATCGAATGAAATAGTACGATATTGATCTCTAGGATTTCCATGTTTCATACGGGGCATTGACATTAAAAAACATAAAGTTAGTCATCATAAGAGAGGAACATTTTAAACATGTTATGGACGATGTCTTTTCTGATTAACGTGTTGATAGTACCTATAATAATTTATATTTCATTCAGCCTTCGGTTTGGTGAAGACTTGGGTTAACAGTGCTTATAGACTTATAAGCTATAGCGTTCGCCTCAACTAAATAGTAAATAGGCATTTACGGTATTGGATTGCTATAAATCGTATACGTTTATTAATTTAATTACTTCAAAACAAAATACACAGGCTATATGTCGTCTCTTTAAAATTACAAGTTTATCAATCTACTTTTATGGCCAGGAATTTATTTGTAATTTATTTATTTGTTATTTGTACAACTTTGCTATGAACTTGTACAACTACACCTTCCTTCCATACAATTGCCTTTTTATCTTTACATTATGTTGTGCATTATTCATGATTTGCAGCTGTATAGAAAATGAATATTTGATTTTATTATAGAATTGTAGACTCTGGTATATTATCAGTTATAACTTCCAACGCAGAAATTGTCAGTATAGAGGGCGGCAAACCAGATTCATAACCATAAAGGGTAGACTTATAGCCCGGCTGGAATGGACCTTTAGTGTCCAACTTAACTTACCAAACACAACAGGGCCACAAATATGCGCGTGTCCAAAAAACACACGCGTGTTGTCCAACAAACACGTGTTTACATTTACGTTATTTTTGTGACCTTAGCAACATTATCCAATAGGGGCGAAGTTAAGCGGAAAGGTCAATAATTGGGTTGTATTTTGATATGCCTCCAAGGTTTTAATTGTTCATATCAAAACGTAAAGAAACTTCACAAATAGAGCAAAAAGTCAAACATAAAATCAGTTAATCAAACTTCTTGAAAATATATGTCAGATATTTACATGTGCTGGGCAGAGGACCATATGAAAACTGGAAATATCCCAGCATTCAAATATGTGTATACCACCATCAATTATTCGATTATATTTACATAATTATGCATATTGAAATGGACATTTATGTTTTTGAAATTTTCCATTTTTGAAAGAGACATGGATTTGTAATGAACACATTAATTTGCTTATAACTGCATCGTCCATTTTTCCATAACCCAATTGGTGCCTACTGTTTTGTTTAAAGTGTGAGACTCTTATAAAGCAATTCTCTAATAGCCCAATTAACTACTATATCAAATTTATTAACCAACAGCAAGCTTGAACCGGTAAGATGCCCATTCTGTTTTTATTATTCAGGAGCTCAAATCAAATCAAATTATTGTGAACTTATTGTTAAATTTTTTATAAATTTGTTATTGTAAATTATTGTATTTTTATATTATCATTATGAATTTTAAATATTTAAATATTATAAAAATTATTGTAATTATCTCTTGAAAATAACATGCAATTTGGCCTTTGGCCACCATATGTTATTAATTTTATGTGATTTTTGAAATAAAGTAATATACTATACTATACTCAAATAAACAAGATACGTACTTGCTATAAAAAAAACTTTTTATAATTTATTCCAGAAATAGTGGACAAAATATCAAAACACTACCAACATATTTATATATTTACATTTAATTAATATTTGGTAATTATCACACTTTAAAAGAAATAAATAAATCACTGCAGGAATGCATATTTCATTGTATAATATATACTGTAAAATTAATCTATAATATTTTACAATCTGATAGCAACGATCACACTTCACACTTGAACTTCCCAAACAAATATCTCATTAAAAGCTACGGTGAAGAGAAGCTTGCCAGAGGGGGTGAATGCAACAAGCTGAACAGCATCGTTGTGTCCAATAAAATCTTGGAAGCTTCCTTCCGTGTAATCCATCAGCTTCACTAACCGCTCTGAAAAAAGATTAATATTAAATTTAATATTTGAACAAGGAAACATTTTCCTCACCTATTAACTGACAGTTAAATACTACCATTTCTATAGAGTTTGTATACCGATAAATAGGAATGCAGGTCATTAAGACCTTAGTGGAATGACGTCCCTACCCCTTAATGCATGGTTACTAATAGACTATTGGAGACAGTACTTTCAATTTTTCGCTTGTGTTTTTGTCATGTATTGTGCGAATATTGGCCCATGATAGCTTATGCAGCAATAAAGAAAGCGAATTGAATTGAAATTTGGCATTAAAATGACTGTAAATCATTGAAGAAAGTTGAATAAATTCATAAAATTAATGAGCAATTCAAAGATGTAATTAAATTTTTGAGGTATTTTCCTGATTTGTATTTGAGTGATATATATCTTTAATAAGGTAAGCCTACCTGTGGATCCAGTAGCAATTACATGTCCAGTAGGAGACACGTCTATACTAGTGGGCCAGTGTGTGACAGCTGTAGTGCGGGCAGCCTAAAATCAAAAACAAAATCATTGGGTCAAACTACTGCACTATTAATGATAAGTTTAGCTGCCATCGTAGGACTTTTAACTCTGTCGATGTTATTGTTCTCATACTATAAACGCTCGCAAAAAGGCCAACATGAACATGAGCCAATAATAATTTTGTTTAAAATGTTAAAGCAGGCAAGCTGGGCATACTGGTAAAGAATATGGTAAAAAAAATGGATTATACAATACATGCTAAAATGTGATAGATGTAGCCATTCCTTATTCGTCACGTATTGACTTATTTTAGTGATTAAACATGGTCAGTTTATAATATTTTTATTCTATTATATAGTGAACATATACGTGTTTGTATCAGCAGCGAATACTGAAGTGGTATGTTCCACTTACCTATACTGTGCTGCTCCTTTCACTGTACTGTACTAACGTAATGTGAATAATGAATTCTCCATGTGTTGCTTTTTGTCCTCCTCCCAATATTTTGTAGACCCGTGTTATTGTAAAATTATTTTTTTACGATATCTTAATGGGCATAAATAGGAACTCAAAACATGCCAATAATGGTACGACATTTAAAAGAATGGTGCTACGATATATTTCTTCCAAAACTGTGCACACGCCTGGAAGGTACATCGTCACAAACATTTTGTCCTTACTCAAATTAGTATATGACAGACCCAGCCTAGAGAAAGTTTTGATTAATTCAACTCATGTTTATTATATATCACAATTATTTCTAATTTGGTCTACAAATAATTAATCAACTTCTGCCTACACAGTGATTCCAGTTTCATTTCCTAAAGTTTTTTATTATTTCCACTTCCTTCCTTTTTCTCCCTATATACAATACATAAAATACATAGTAAAAACAAGTTATTTAAAAGAGATAAAATGTTAGATGACAAAAGGGCTTCAAAGGCTCTAACCTTCTTTTGGCTGAGGCTGTAAAACTGAATCTGCTTCTGCATACCATATCCAGCGTAAATTATGGTATCGGAGTCAATCGGTGAAAACTGTACCAAACTTGGAGGTAGGAGGTCAAATACACTCTAAAAGAAATAAATGGAAAATGAAGTGAAGAAAATGACGAAAAGTAATAGATTTTTTAGACTAACAGTTTTTTTTATTGAATTGTTATTTATTTGTTACTTGGTATTTATATAGCACCTTTCATTTACATTACTAAGCGCTGTGTTTTCCCTGTCATTGAATCCACAACCATACTGCCACATAGGTGCAGTAGTTGAAAACAGGAGCCTGAAATTGGAAGGCAACCATCTTAACCACCTACAGGTCAACTCCATACTATGAGTAAAATATATTTGTATTGAACTGGCTACATCAACACCAATATTGTTTGTTACAGTAAACATTAAGTGATTGAAAATTCAAACAATTGAAATTGTCATTCTTACAGTTTCCCCCTTTTTAATAATGGTTCCATCTGGAGCAAAAGCAGGTGCTGGGAAAGACAACCAATCAATCATTTCACATTTATCACTTGACCAATCAGCAGTCCAGACACTGACCCGTCGATCAGCACCGGCAGCCATCCATACGGATGGGCTTTTGAATCCAACATCATCATCCCCCTGTTGATATATAAAAATAATCATTTGACAGAGGTGAGCAGGGTATTTTGTAAACAATGAATTTGAAAAAATATATATATCTGACTAAAGTTATTTAACAGTATTTGGTCCAAAGCTGGGTCACAGATGCTCCTAAATAAAGTACATTTATGGTACATATAACATTTGTATTCTAAGGTTTGTCTCTGACATTAGAGGGCAATCTCCTTTGAAACATAATTTTATTTGATGTATCTTATTATGTAAGATATGCGGATGTAATTTTATGGAATGTAATATAATGAACAATAGATCTTGTTAGCGTGTCCATACACACAAGTTAAGATAGTCTGACGTTTGTTCTAGTTGCATATGGTGGTAATAGGATTAGCTTAACCGGTGGCTGCAACAAGGATGCTCCTACCTTCACCCAACAATATATGATTATGATCAGTCAAACAGATTATGTAGTTTATCTTACCTGCTTCATGCTGACTTTGATGTCTGTGATTGGAGCACCTTTATGATCATTAATGACTCTGACCGTCATACCTGTGGCTGGACTGCTGACCGCAATCAGGCCATCTTGACCACCTGACAGAATTACACGACCTAAACAGATTGAATAGCTGAATTAAATGAGCCCTATGAATATACATGAGAAGTTACATCAGTAGTAGGTGTGAGGTGTGTATTTGGATACTCTTATCCCACTCCGGGTCCGAGCGTATGCTCCTCTAGGATCAGAATGCTTTCTTCCATAGATCCCCAGAATGTGTGCCACTTTGGATATTTATAAAATTGCTATGTTTTTTCAGGAAGAGTATACCATGAACAGGTCTATTTCAAACCATATATTTGCCTACACCTTAAATTAATAAGCTACCAGTACATGCATGTGCATTTAGCCAGTTGACCTATTCCCAAAAGTTTCAACTACCCTTTATGCAAACTGAGAGAGCCCCTCATTTATGAAATTTTTAAATTGTTATCAGCATATTTAATTCGCTATCTCCACTTTTTGCAACTGGGCTAATACACTTCATCAGTCTTACCATCTGCAGAAGTTGCAATAGCAGTAACTGCCACCGCATGGGGGTGCATTTTAAGGACCAGCTCCACCTTGCCAAGATCAAACACTCTCAAAGTACCATCACTGTAACCTGCAAATAACTTTGGCAACACTGCCCTCTGGGTGCTTGAATCTGGATTGATCGCACTTTGTGACAGCTGGTGGCTGAACGTTATGCAGTTGCAAGACTGACAATAAAAATGACATTTGTTAAGAACTGTCAAGAATAATTTTTACTTTGTTTATATGGTGCTGATTTACATTTACAGCTGGCTTTTCAGAGCAAATCTCCTATGAGGTACACATTTATACTTCTGGGTGCAGAGAAACAGACATAGAAAAAATTCCTTGCCTATGGACACAAACATGTAATCAGTTTCCTGCTTGAAGCTCTAAACTTTTGATTGGAAAACCAATGCCTTACTATTACACCACATTTTTTTACTTTCAACAGTTACTTATTATAATTCCATACCTGCTGTTGTATTTGAAACTGAACAGTTTGTTCCATTTCTGACAGCGACCAGACACGAACACTACCATCTTCAGATGACGATGCAAATAAATCCTGACCTCCAAATGCAAGATCTGTGATCTGATTTTAAAATACAGTAATCGAGTTTAGCCTCTACAATAAATTCATAAATGAATTCTATTTAAACAAGAAATAAATTTATTCATCACCTAATTTAAACTTATACTTAAGACATAAAGTCCCTTCATTCAATCTCACCCCCTACCTCAAAAATAAATTTAAAAAAAAACAATTGTATCTCACCTTCATTGTGTGTGTACTAACTAGCCTGACACATGACCTCTCGACCCAATTGATATACCAAAGCGTACCTGCATCGGTTCCGACAACACCAATATCCATGGTGTCATCAAACTGTCTCTTATACACATCTAGATGTGTATAAGAGACAGGTGTGTGACAGCTGTAGTGCGGGCAGCCTAAAATCAAAAACAAAATCATTGGGTCAAACTACTGCACTATTAATGATAAGTTTAGCTGCCATCGTAGGACTTTTAACTCTGTCGATGTTATTGTATTTATTTATCACCTAATTTAAACTTATACTTAAGACATAAAGTCCCTTCATTCAATCTCACCCCCCTACCTCAAAAATAAAAAAAAAAAAAAAAATTGTATCTCACCTTCATTGTGTGTGTACTAACTAGCCTGACACATGACCTCTCGACCCAATTGATATACCAAAGCGTACCTGCATCGGTTCCGACAACACCAATATCCATGGTGTCATCAAATGATGCACTTACAACAGCGCCATCTAGAGGCATTTCATCCTCCATCACCAGTCCCTTGCCAGAAGCTCTGTTCACAAAAAAAATATCATAATATTATCTTATTAAGCAGCAGCAGTTAAGTGATAACAATGCATTGGATTTTCTAAAAAATCATACAAAAGGTATAAATTCTACACAATATTTTTATCCAAATTTTCATAAAATTAACATCAATTCCTTACTGATTGGAAATGTTATCGGCTGCAAGTCGAAGCTCTCCAACACCGTACATGGACCATAAACGCAGATTCCGTGAACAACTACCTGTGATAAGACGACTGCTACCAAACCGACAAACTAACACGCCTGTATACAAATGCAGAAAACAATGTCATGCACTTTATATGAAGGAGTTGTGTACTAACAATGTTGCTTCAAATAGAAATAGATGCCATAAAATCATATCTTAATGTAATGTAGTGTACTGTAGTTAGATTTATATAGCACTTTATACCGAAACGGTCTCAAAGTGCTTGAGGTGTGGCCTAGCATGTACAGCAACTTTCTTCTCCCCTAAGGGTCTCTACAGGTCTGGGCTACCCGGTAAACCCGTACCAGCTACTCTTGTCTGTCCACAACAGGGGCTGAATGGACCAGTATACTGGGGTAACCCCCTACTGATAATATTACATTATTACTATAAAGAATTAGGAATCACCAAAAAAAAAAACCCAAACAGGGAGAAATTTATTCTATTACTGATTAATTAATTGATTGATTAAATAAATAAATAAATTACTTAATTCATAAATTAATATAATCATAATTGACCCACCTATTTCTGAGGTTTCTGCCTCCCAGTGCATGAAGCATGTATTGTGACGAGTATCCCAGGCTGAGAGGACACCTGTACTAGTGCCAACAAACAACACACTGTCACCACCATACTGCAGACAAGTCAGTGACACATCAGTCTGTACCTACAGACAACAAGAAGAAATCATGTTAACAGATCTAACAATTGAAAATATGAGTCAGAAATACATTTTTACTAATCTGGCTTTATCTTCATCTATACTTTTTTATTTAATGTACTTATGTGAAAAATAAAATTGGTTTATATTAATTTATGCAGGAGTAAAAACATACACGGTACAAACAGGTTGCAAAGGTCTACATTTTTTTTTTTTGGCTTTAAAATGTAAAACCTGATATTGGAAAAAAATGAGGTAAACAGAAGAGTTGGGAAAATAAACCAAAAAACACAAAGTTCCAGGTTTAACTGAGGGTCTAACTTTGAGCTGAGGCTTTGGCTAATTGGTATGGTTCCTGCCTCTTGCACGTCCAGGCCCAGGTTCTGGTACTGGTACGGGCATTTATAATGCATCCTCTTCCTTGCGGTTATAAAGTGCAGTTCCTTTCCCTGGTCATTGGGCCCACATGCTAATTGTTGCTGCTGGTAATCAGCGCAGGAACAGGCAACCCCACCAGGTTCCCATTTATAATCCTGGGTGGAGAGAAGCAATGCAGATAAAGTGTCTTGCTCAAGGACACAAGCGAAATCTCCAGCAAGGGATTGAAACCCCGACCTCGAGGTTGGGAAACCAAACCGTTCCCGCTGCGCCAAACCGCTTCTATACCTGGCTCTGTGTCGACTATTGAATTTGGGTCTTTTATAATAACAAAAAACGCTCAAAAACCGAAAGGTCCACTGATTAATCTCAGTCAATATCTCATCTCAATATTGAATCCCAACACGATGGCTTGTATTTCAATACTTGGAGTATGTATTATACTTTCTTAAAAAACGCTCAGCTCCTAGAGGAGAGTTAGGCGAGTTAAGGACCATGTTTGTATCCGATGTTTATTTAAGGCATTAATTTATAAGTTAGCACCGGACCTGCTTACAGGCATTGCCTTCTTGGTTTCGGTATTGTACCATAGGTGGTTAAATGAATAAAGTTTATTATTTATTAACTGAATCAAATGATAATGGCCATTTTAATAATCAATAATAAACAACTTAATATTGTGGCAATGTTATAACACTGAAAGCGAAATATTTTTTTCAATTTTTTTTTTAATTTCATGAATTAGGCTTCTGCCTATTACCTCATCCATCAGATGTTTTTTGTCAATAAAAAAGTAATGCAAGTAAATGAAATGAAAATTCAACTTAAAAGTTTTTCATCCGTTACCCTTTGTTTTGATGCAATAATTTCATGTGGTATTGTAGCTTCGTGTACATTCAAGTTGTATCGTTCCTGTGTTTCATCCAACAGCCAAAACAACATTGTACTCTTCTCACCAACCGTTGCAAATTCATTTGTTGCGTAGGGATCCCATTGGACACTGTGTACTGGTAACGCCGTCTTGGATGCTGCTATCACGCTGTAGTCCATGATATTCCAAACTACTATAGCACGCTCTCGATAATCACCTAAGTGTCGTCAAAATCATTTATTATTATGGCGAATTTTAATTGATGAGTTTGTAAAATCATGAACACTAAAATTTAGTTCGGCGATTAATATGTACTAACATTTGTTCTTTAAGACTTTTTGAATACTTTGAATTTAGAACTTGTCAAGGGGTGACCTTTTGACATTTCTTGTCACCTTTTGACCTTTCTTGTAAGCTTGTGACAAGTAACAAATTTCAGAAGTAAATCGTCCTCACCTACTGATATTAGAAACCTGTCATCTCTTGAGAATGCTAGGCAGACAATATCATGGTCGTGGTATGATAACACCTTCTTACACACTGCCCCTTGCACCTCCCACAAGCAGATCTGACTGCTAGTTAAGCCGCTTGCACCAGAGGCTGAAGCTAGCGTTTGGCAATCATTCTGTAGGGCTAGGGTGGAAATCTCACTAACATGGCCTGCATGGAAGTGAAATATAGATAGGTTAGTGCAAACTTCTTTATATTTTAACAATGGTGTTCTGTAAGTTATGTTGCTACAGTGAAAATGCCACATGAAGCATCATATATGGTGGATTACATGCTGCATCACCAAATCATGGATCACATGATGCATTAAATGATGCATCACCAGGTTGCGCATCACATGATAATACATTACATGAATGTGCTTCACATGATCGTGCATCACATGATGCATTAGATGATACATCACATGATCATGCATCACTTGATTATGGAACACGTAAGATTTATCTTATATATATAATTGTGCAGTATCCACAAAGCTTTCCTTAGATTATTCAATATTACAAAAATTTTTGTATGCCTATATATGGTCTTGATGTGATGTCATCATGACCATATTTAGGCATGTCACATGTTTTTGTCAAATAAAATTTGATAGTGTGGAGAGGCTTACCTATCAAATGCCTCTGAGAGCCAGTGTTGAGGTCTTCCAATATGGCCACACATCCACTGGTGTAAGCAAACAACCCTGCATCAGCATGCCACACCATGTTGCCACGACCGTTGCCATTGTAACCAAGAACAGACTTTAATTTTAAGCCTGCCTGATTGGGTGGTGCTATGTACCGCCGCTGAAATCAACCAAACAACATTAAGAACAAACATTTGCTACTGACTTTGACCACCTTATAAGTAATTTAAATTGCTGAATGTTGTGGTTTTACCTTGTTTAATGACAATGACTACTCTGTTTGTGCAAAGAACCACCACCTAGGTTTCCAGAATGTAAAACACAATTGAATATACAGTAGTAACTAATAAGCATTTAAAAATACATTTAGTGAATACTTATATTCTGTAAATACTTTAAATGTCACCATCTGGGTAACTGGAGTGTTGACTGTTTGCATGCAAATCATTCCACCAAAAGGGGAGGACATTAATTTAGCAGATTAAGTATCCTTGGTGCTTTGTAACAGTGTATATACATGAGGCTTGTGTATCATCATCTAGCAACTATCACCATCATCACAACAGTCACAGTCAATTACAACTAATTATACTGATTATATATGACTGTATAGGAGGTGTTACATATGTATGAATGATGTTGAATCATTGAGGTGATTTCACATCTTACCTGTGCCAGAATGGAATCATTTTCTCTGCGGATGAAGTGTCTGTGGGTTGATGGTTTATTATGTAGCTCCATACTGCTGATATCAGGTGGACTGTTATCTTCTCTGACAATGTTTGCTTTAGGCCTTGCTTTGTTACCTATGTTATCTTTAGACCTCACATTGTCAGTGACCATGCTGGTTTTGGGCATCAAATTGTCACCGGCAATGCCGGCTTTAAGTTTTACATTGTTACTGCTCCGTAAACGAACTGGTACCAGATCATCTTCGTCCTCTTCTGTTGTTGTTGAATGAGTGTGAACTCTACGATGTGGCTTCACCCTCGAGCTAAAACCTAGTGTTTCTGGTATTGCATCTTCCTGAAATGAAATAATAACATTATTGATATTAAAATGCTGATAATAATTTACCCTCATCATTATTTACCACATTATTCATGTTATATTACATTTTATTGACCACCATACTACAGCTGCCCCAAAGTTTTACTTGTACTTACATTCTCAGTTGTTGAGATTTCTTCTTCAGTTCTACTCTCCAAATCAGCTCCAATCAACACCTCTGCTGATTGTCCAGTATCACTATCTAAAAAAAACACATAATTAGCGATAATAAAACCAAAATTTTAAGTAATGCATGTTGTTTTATATAAGGATAGGTGATTTTAGAAACATGTTCTACTTTTAAAGATTGCTTTAAAAGTTTACAAAGGTGTCTCCCTCTTATTTCTGTTATAGACTCTGCATTTATAATTCTTACGATGTTGATGAATAAAAAATAAGTTCAATCAACCCCAAAGACTTAACAGTTATAATACAGTAGCAAATGAGACTGAGGGAACATACCAGCACTAAACAGGAATGGCCCACTACTATTAACAACACTAATTACTCTAATAATTTGCTTTTCTAGTTCAAAATACAGTTATGTTAATTACAGCAATATCATTAACTACAATGAAATACAGCAACCAATTCAATTAGTACATTACCAGTATTCTGAATCATGTGCATTGTGCTGAAGTCATCCAACTTATCCGGCGTTGTCGGCTTGGGGGCGCCCTTCCTTGGTACTAAGCTGTTTCCTAGATTAAGGCTTCTTCGAACTGGGCTTCGAAATGGAGTACTCCCTGTATTGTAAAATGAATTGCAAACTAAATTAAACAAAATCAGAAGTGATTAAATTTTTCATAAAACAAAATATATTTAAAATCAATGTACAGTAGTTCCATTTTGAAAATGCTTGGATCTGACCTTTACCATCATTCTGTGCAAGAAAGCTTTTTGTTGGAGATCTCCCTCTGAGGAACAAAAATAAAAGAAATTAAATGATAGTAATTCGGTTTTGCTTGGACTTATTTTGAGGCACAAATGAATAATGTTTCCCCTAAATAACAATAAATACAACATATCAAAACTTAGTATTAAAAATAATTAATAAGCACAAATTTAATAAATCAATGAATCAATCAATCAAAAATACATATTTGTATATATGTATATATTCAAAGCCTAATACACTGGACCCACACATGTGGTTACATACTCTTTTGGAGCTGGTTCCCTGCCAGTACCAAAGAAGTCCCACACAAAGATGGCTTCACCAACACTGATCAGACTCAACATGTCTGGAGAGAACATCAATTTCTTTATGGCTTCTGAATGGCCAATGAAAACCTGAAAATAATTCAAGTAGAAGGAAGTATGATAAAGAATGCTTCAACTGTTGATGAGGATGGAATTAAAACAAATAAAACACCTATTTTTCAAAATTTAGACGTTAGCAATCATTCTTGATTATTCTAGTGAAATTATACTTCACTCACTTGGAAGTTTATGTCAAGTCTCATGTGGTAATCCCATATCTTGACAACTTTATCACCCGCTGTTGCTAGGTGACGACAGTTGGATGGCACATCAATTGATGTACACCCTGATCGATGGATATTTGAAATCTGAAAGAGTTTTTGGAAATGTAGTTACATTGAAATTTTATAACAGAAAGAAACCACTCCCTCATTGGATAATAGAGAGCTTTCGATTGCACGACGACGGTAGGACGTAGAATGTAATGACGTCACTAAAAGTCATCTGCGCATGCGAGAACGTTAAGGTCACCTCATCGAGTAGATTCTGGAACGCAATTTGGCCAAATCTATGTATGCAGAAATCGTAGGATGCCAGGTAGGACAGTCACGCATGAGTGGTTCCGTTCCGTCGTCGCACAAATCGAAAGTTCCCTATTGTTGTTAAGGTCCCACAAGTGGTGACCTGATGCTTACCTCATTCATGAGTCACCCTGACCTGATGCTTACCTCATTCATGAGTCGCCCTGTCCTTGAATCCAGTCTGAGTAACCTATTTGTAGTGGTCACCACTAAGAGCTGACGAGCTTTCAATGGTGAGAAATAAACACGGAGGGCGGTGTCAATCACAGCTTGATCGACATCCGGACCCATTGATGTGATGTCAATACGAAGCATCTGCGGAAGAGGTTTGGAGAATTCCGAAGTGAATTTCAGGTTTAGGAACAATTTCAATTAGACATTCTCAAAAAGAAGTCAATACATTAAATATATATACAAAATAATAAATATCTTTATTATTGTCATTGTCATCATTATCATCATCAACAATAGTTCAGTAATACAGATAAATAAATAAATGAATACAGTGTATTGCATATATTTTACAAAATGAAATTTGTTTACTCAACATCTGTTAAAAAATATATATGGTGGCAGCATTTCTAACCTCATCTAAAGATTTACCATCAGCTACAGTGACTGTAAATTCTGATGGACCAACGTATGCAACATATTTACTGTCTCCGCTGACTGACAGCATATCTGGTGCATATTGGTTTCCTTTAGCAACTGCATTGCCTAGCAACCGCATCACTTGGTAGCCCTCGTGTGATGCATCATAGAGGGCGATAGAACCCATAGAACAACAGCTGTAAAGGTACTGTGCATTTGGAGGGAATGCAAGACCTGTCACTTTCCCACGATGCTCCCTGAGTCAAGAAAAGAAAACACCAAATAATCAGCACAAAGCTCTGTCCACACATCATGACCATATATAGGCACAACATGACGCAAGTCGATTGGCCGAGCAGTTAAAACAGGGGAACTGTGACTTACAGCCATAATATCGGCGCTTTTTTCGAACGGCACGCTCGCCTATGGTTCCGGTGGTGGAACCATATGGTGGAAGTCTTCTCGGATAAGGACTCTAAACCGTAGGCCCAGTGTACACAATTAGCTCTTGTGCACTTTAAAGAACTCAGCACATCATTCGAGAAGAGTAGGGGGTTACCCCGGTGTACTGGTCCATCTCTAGTCCCCTGTCCAGCCACAGAAGGAGCGCTCACGATGTGGCCCATGTCAGGTATCCATCCTACCTGCGAATCCTTCTACCACACTACGTAAGCTAGATCATACACACTAGATACGTAGTGACTCGATAAGAAGAAACTATATATGGTCATGATGACATCACATCATAACCATATATAGGCACATCAAGACTATATATGGTCATAATGACATCACATCATGACCATATATAGGCACATCAAGACTATATATGGTCATGACATCACATCACAACCATATATATGCACATCATGACTATATATGGTCATGATGACATCACATTGTGACCATATATAGGCACAAGAATATATATGGTCAGAATGACATCACATTGTGACCATATATAGGCACACCATGACTATATATGGTCATACAACAGTTTTTTGTCAAAGAAAACTTAATGGTTTCATCATAATCAACACATTAACCAATTTTTTTATATTATTCAATTTTGGATTCTTAAAAAATGTAATAGAAATTTTATGTTGTTTTAAGGGTGTTATAATATTTTAAGTATGCAAATCCATTGAATAAAAAACACTCAGAGAGAACTTCCCCACCCTCATCCCCTCTCATGAAAAAATGTCACCACATGTCATTTGAAGCTATCAGACTAATACTCTGTACACTCTCAAATTTTATGCAACAAATTTGTGTGATGTGCCCATATATGGGTATGATGATGTCATAATACACCCAAATACGGGCATATCACATTTAATTGTCACATAAATTTCATAGTCTTGATTGAGCTTGAAACTATAGAGAACCACAGTCGTGTCGTCACGACGCCAGGTGGCGCTATCTCTGTTGTCAACGGACGTTAGTTACCGTTCATTACGCCTAAATGACTTCATAGGCTTTCTGGAATAGGCATTTTAAAATCTAATATTTTAACATCAAAATGTATTAAAAACACAAAAGCTTGCATTACAATAGTTATCGAACACACATTTAATCATCAATTAAAATTTACAAAGAAAAAGTAAGATACAACATCTTAATAATTACGTTAGAAATTGGGATCAATGGTTTGTCAGTGAAGGAAATGGCGTCCGGTTGAACGCTTTTCGCAACAATAGCAACGGAGTATTATCACATGGTATCGTGACGTAACACTGTAATACTCTATTAATTTTCCATATTTAGATGAATAATAGACATAAATAGCATGACGTACCTGTGTTCAGCTACTAGGCTGGTAGATGCAATGTTGAACACACGGACACAGCCACTTTCAAAGCCACAGGCAAAGCACTGTAGGCTGGGGTGAAAGGTTATTGCACATGGGCATTCCTGAGGTGTACTGAAGTCATAAAGCTACAAACACAAAAAAACTTTTTTTGTCAATTTGCATCTTCATAAACATTTGTCATTTGTGTTTTGCTTTAAGAGAAAATATAAATCAGTAAATTATATAACCAAAACATTATTAATAATTGCAATGTAAGAAATTAAAGAAAAAAATATCCTTCAATAAAAGTGTTTTTTCCCTTAAAAACCTTAAAAATATGTAAAAATTCAGTTAAGCAGGTAAATAAAATCATAACCAGACCAAATTGTTAGCATATAATATATCTAGATCATATTAATATAGGTGCTATATAAATATTGATTATTTTATGATCCTTTTATCACAACTTTTAGTCTAATTCATACTCATCTCAATATTTTATTTAAGTGAAATGTTTTTCTATTTGATTGAAATTGGTCATTTGATTTCCATTGCATTTTGACATTTTTTTATTTAGTATTTACATTTGATGTGTGGATTCCTAAATGAATGTTTTTTTTTTAATGAATTTCATCTCTCAATTTTTAGAGGTTCTTGTATAAATTGAATTGAATAATAAATTTACATTTAAAATTGAACAGGATTCTTAATGGCGCATACATACCTGTTGCAATGTCTGTACATCCCAGACACGAATGGTACGATCACGTGACACAGTAGCAATGTTGCGATGCAAAGGATCAAAAGAAAAACTCAATACTTGATCTGTGTGTGATCGCATTAGGGTGGTGTAGCTACGTGTGGAAATGTTAAGCACCCCGATGTTGCCTGTTGTGGTCCCAGCAAGAATGCGTAAACCATCATTGGAGATTGATACAGCTGTTACTGGGCCTTCATGTTCTATGGAAAGTTTGTAATGGAAATTAAAATAAGCTGTAATGGAAATTAAAACAATTTTACAAAGAAATAATACATTTAAATTTATTCATTTAAACATCAATTACTATTAATTTTATTCACTGATTTTTTATTAATTGAAATGACTTAACGAAGTTTTCAGCCAACATGGGTTACTTTTTTTCAAATAGTGCCTTTTAAGTGTAAAATAATTTCTTATTATACAGTTATATGTATTGTAAAAACCTGCTTCAAGATAAACACTAGAAAAGTCTAACCGCCACAGACGCATTCCCTTATCTGACCCAGTTGCACAAAAACTATTAATTTTTTTCAGACAATAATGGCTCCTTTAAGTCACTATTTTCTAATAGTGCCCTGTGAACTTTACAATAATTTCTTATTATATAATTATATTGTACAAACCTGCTTCAAGATAAACACTAGAAAAGTCCAATGGCCACAGACGAAGCATTCCATCATCTGACCCAGTTGCACAAAAACTTGCATTCACACACATGCAATTCAATGATATCCCAGATCCTGGACGAAAAAATAATGGTTGAAGCAAAGGAGAAAAAAAAAACAAACAAGGAATGCCATTTATATATAAGTAATAATACAACTGACAAATGCATCACTAATAATATAAATAGATTGTTCATTTATTTTAAGTAATCACAGCGACTATTATCTATTATGTATTAGACAAAAATTGACCTGATATGGAAGTGAATACCATGGCCTAATGACGAGTTCCAAGATCCCCCTGACCCAGGGGGAGAGTGCATGCTGCAACTTGGTGGAGTGGTTCTGTTGTTCCATTCTATTGTTTGTGTGTGTCAACCCCTTTAATGGTTAATGACTGCTAAGTGTACATGGAACAAGTAAAATACATTAACAACACATGATGATGTCATAATACACCCAAATATGGGCATAAATGGAACAAACCTGATCGAAAAGTACTTTTCTCCTTTGTTTTATCAACTGGCAGAAGACGACGGACATGGGCCACTGACACTCTAGCATGGTCTATTTCAAAGATGTGACCTGACCTTGTACATGCTAGGCTATAGATAAAGTAAAAGTAAAATAACTCATCAAATTAAATAACTAGGAAATTTAGGCTGAGTTGCTGCGGGTTTGTGATTTATAACAATAAAGAAACACCATGATACCCTGATCTTTATCAACAAGTGTACATGTTTTATTTTTAATAAAACCTCTACTTATAGCTTAAAGCAGTTGGTGGAAAAGATTAAGGGGCAAAAACGATATTCCAATTGAATACCACATTTGCCAACAGCATTATGCTATTCTCAAGGTGGATGCCCTCTATTGATTAACTTTACTGTATGGAGCTACATCAGGTGTGAATACAATTATTGCAATACAATCACGTAAGATAATTGTAAACATAAAGCAAAATAAAAAATAATTGTGATGTATTAAAACCACCTATGTCTGAAAATCAAAAAATGCAAAAACTTCAATTATGTTTTTCATCCCTAAATTATGAATCCTACTCATTCAAAAAAATCACACAGTCAATTATTATAATACTCTGAATGCTTCAGCCTAATAAACTATTTATACTGAAAGATTTTAAAAACCAAAAGGTCCACTGATTAATCTCAGATAAGAAAGTATAATACATACTCCAAGTATTGAAATACACGCCATCGTGTTGGGATTCAATATTTCGACATTAATTATGTCATCATCAGGATGACATAATTAAATATTGAATCCCAACACGATGGCGTGTATTTCAATACTTGGAGTATGTATTATACTTTCTTATTTGAAAGATTTTAATTGTATGAAAAAATATGCTTACATTAATCTATCAGCTGGATCTCGACTGGGATGATGGGTTGCTTCAAAACAAAGATCTGTAAACTCAGCAACATGGTAATCACCAAGATTAACCGGTGCGGACCGTAACTGTCCACTTCTTACACGCCATAAACGGACATTGTCCCGTCCACATGTTGCAATTCTGTAAATGAGAAAAATTTGTAGTTGAATGTTGTGAGCATGTAGCTACCAACAAGTGCCCCTTTATGGCTGCTAGGTAGTCACGGACCATGCACATATGCAATTCAGCGCAATGACCGTGCAAGTTATGGGTTATTCTCCTACCTTTACAATGTGATTTCAAATACTTGCCCTCATAACAGTGATAAAGTAATGAGAAAAATTGCATAGTGTTGGTATTCTTATAGTGTATCGTATTCTGAGGTGCTGACAATATTGACATCAGAAAAGTTCCTTACCTTAAGTCATCAAATGGCGCAACTCGCACTCTGACAATGTCAACATCAGTGTGAGCTTTTGCAAGAACATCAACATCACCACTACGCTTCACTTTAGATGTATTCCACACGACAATCATCTACGAAAATAAACAATATTTACTTCATGATTTGATTAATAATGTATACAGTAGCGGGACTAGGAATTCAAAATACATGAATACAATACAATACAATTTTATACTCTCATATGCTGCAATGGACTGTTTTTGTATGTGATTTCTTATTCAGTAAGTACTGTAAAACCTTGAATTGAAGCCCTGGGCTTCTTTCTTTTAGCAAACTTTGGATGTTCTACTTTTTGAGATGGTCTTCTTTTCGAGGCTACTTTTGCAAAATAATGAGGTGGGCTTCTTTCCAAAATGAATGCTGTAAATCTTGTGAATGTGAACTAAAAAGAGGGGGGGGGGGGCTTCAATTCTCGAGATGGCCTTCATCTCGAGATTAAGCCCACTGCGCTTCAATTCAAGGTTTTACGGTATACTCAAATATATATACATGACCAATTTATTACTCACACATAATGTGCAACCCCAGTCAATATTTTGGAAGTATTACATTATATGACCAATTTCATTCTCAACGTTTAAATCCTACTAACTGCTCACAAATTCATGGATGATGGTTAAATTGGAATAAATTGTAATGTGACACATGTGGACTCAATTCTGTCCATGCAGGATCAGTGGCGGTGCCAGTTGGGGGGGGGGGACACCCCGCCGGACAGAGCTCGTCGGGCAGTCAGACCATAAAACATATAAAAATAGGCCCACACCAAGCCAACACATGTCTGTCACAGTCTGAGAGTGCCATTTCCGGCCATCCAGGGGTTGCTATTCTTAAAAAAAATCTCATTTGAGAGGGAAACTTCCTCTCAACCCCTTACCTCAGCTCGAGCCTACGAGCTCAAGTCCCCCCTGTCGGACAACTTAGCTACCCCCCACCCCCAGAAAATATATCCTAGAGCCGCCACTGTGCAGGATACCTACATTTTTGCCATGTCCATCTTTGCCAACTCCACACAATGTACGTCCGGAGACTGAGAAGCTGCAATTTAAAAACAATCTATGAACAACACAATAATAGAAATAATGCAATCCAAAAGTGATAATTAAACAAAAATAATATAAAGTGAAAATAAACAAAGAAGAGCTAGACACACTCTGCTTTGATCGCCTATATATATATAGGCCTGGCCCTAGCTAGGCTGCTAATAATACAGCTAGGCCAGGAAGTAAGTACTTTTATAGGCCTTGTAGAATCTATGTATGACTCTGAGGGATATAAAACAAATATTGACTACTCCAGATTCAGGGAACGGTGAAATTTATTGCCCCTCGGTGATGTGGAGACAGTCTATCTTCCTTCGGCCCTCTGGAACATAGGCTACGGTTTCCACATCACCTCGGGGCAATAGATTTGATATTATCTTATGGAATGACAAAAAATATTTTTACCTCAGAGCAAATAAGGAGTGAACATGTGTCTTGAACATGGCTAGGCACTGTCCACTTTGAAAGTTCCACACACGAACTACGCTCAAACGTCCAGTTTGACCAGATGCTAAGAAAGTGCCATTCCCATTCATTGCAAGACAGGATACCTAAAATACACAAAAAAATGAAATAGAAATAATCACCATGCAAATTTAATAATAAACAATCATCACTGTCATCGTTGCCTTTGTCCTTGTAATCATGTTTTCAATCAGCACCATTAGTAATATCACCACTGAAGTGTCAAGTGATGCCATCTAACTAACCTTATCTGTATGGCCCAAGAAAAACTTCTGGACTCCATTACTTGCATCCATTGATACTACCACAGAATGACAAGGGTAGATAATATGAGTGCCATCCATTGACCAAATTGCCTAGGGTACAAATCAAAGAGCCTCAGTATAAAAGCCTGGCAATTCACATTCATGACCAACAAATATTGATTATAATTCTTTTTTGACTATTTTCTAAATGTAATTTCACCAAAACATAAAATAATATTTTCGACAGAAACAGAACGAAAAGGATACAAAACAAAACAATGCTACAAGTATTATCCTCGCTCTCAAAAACGGAATTAAGTTGGGGGGGATGGGGATGGGTAAGAACAACTAACCTCTGTAGTTGAGAATCCACCAAATCCAACAATTCTTCTCAATGCTAGTATTGGATCAGGTTTTAGAGTCTATAAAGTAGAAAAAAATGATAATTAAATTAAGTGGTATAATCAGAAAATTAATTTTGGTCACAAGGTGCTTGTGTTATAATTGTTGTTATAAATTACATAATGCTGCTCACCTAAATGTTTAGACATATTTAACCCTTTGAACTCATGGTCCGTATAAAATACGGACCAATTTACTGTCGCAGGAAGTCCTCTCCGTGTACTAGTACGGACTGACTATTAATGCTGCTGCCCTCTATTTAATGAGTATTTTAGGGAATTTCCCTATTGAAAACCTCTTGGAAAAGATCAAGGGTTTGTTTCTTGGTGTACTGGCCAATTCACCATTTCATATCATATCTTTATGCACGAGTGCCAATGATATGCCAATCAGTGAACTTAATCACCTTCCTACATGGCATATCCATTATACTACAGGGGATTGAATGGACCAGTACACCAGGGCAACCCCCTACTCTTCTTAAAGGATGTACTGGATTCTTTAAAGTGCACACAAGCCAAATACATACACTGGGCCTACAGTTCAAAGTCCTTATCTGAGAAGACTTGTTCCACCACCAGGAACCATTGGCGAGTGAGCCGTTTGAACCAGCGACAATATTACGGTGCCCCTGACTTAACTGCTCAGCCAATCAACTTGCAGTAGCTGGAAAGCATTGAGTAAGTTGCACTGCACCCCTTTACACTGACCTTGTTAAATTGTTTTGACATCGGTGGTGACCCAGTAGTGACCTTAGTGGAGGTGCTCTGTAGAGTCAAGCAGATGGACAATATAACTATAAACAGCATTGACATTATATATTTTTCTTCTCCAATGGCATTGTTACTCAGTAAATTTGAATGTTCCCTTTCAAACCAGTATACATGAAACAGCAAAACTATACAAAATATTGCAACACAAATCATTATAAGCCAAAGCTTTAGGAACAACTTCAACATCTGATAAAAATAAACAGCTACAGTGTAGAAGGAAGACCACATTTGTGGAGCGCTAAATAAGTGCAGCGTTTGATGCTCAAATAATAGTTTCAGGTCAGGTTTTTGAATCTTGATTATGTCCTTGGTAAAGACACTTTACCTATACTTGCCTGTCTCAGCAAATGGGTAGTTGGTTAGACATTTTGGCCCTGAAGTTTCTGAAGCTTAATACGGCCTCATGACTTGGTACCCATGGAGCATAGAATGTTGGACTGCTAATATATATGTTATCCATTAATAACAAGTGTAATAACGCTCTTGTAACTTTCATCAATATTGGTTTGGAATTGACAAATGATAATTAGAGATATTATATTACTCACAAACCAGCAAACAGAGAATCAATCATTTGCCTATTCCTTGCAAAATCAAGTACAAATTTCCTGAGTATATACCAGCAAGGCAGTCACTAACCAGTCAGAAAATAACAAATGACATACAATTTGCAGCAAAGGAAAAATTTAAACTCATTTGCTCACCAATCCAGATTTGTGATCATGTCTATGCAATGTGACATCATCCTTGTCCTTAGCAAACACATGTACCTCTCCCTGTTGTCCCACAAGTACAGAAGGATCTTTACTTGATAAGTGAACTGCTGGTAGTTCTGCAGTCACCTTTGGTCGGTGTTTTCTTTCCTTTTTCGGTTTTGTAATATTGCCCATCAGCGTTGCTCGCTCATCTGCTTTCTTATCGACCTTGAGTTGTGGGAAAAAACACAAGCTGAGAATATGATTGACACATGAGACTCCACCCACTTAATTAATAGCATGTATTAATCTGGGAACTCACTGCGCAAAACAGTTGTCGGCCGGCGTAATTCTCTAGAGAAAAGCAACGCTACAACGTGCAACGGATCATTTTTAAAGACGATCCATTCAGACTGCCACCGAAAATCAGCGGACAGTCGCATGGTCTAGCGTTCACAGGGAGAGGAGTTGCATTCATCGTGTAATTGTCGTACAACAAAGTTCGTGCATGGCTTTACATGATTGAATATTGATTGATATCTCTGCAACTCTTTTGTAAGTTCTGGTCAGGATGACAATGGGTTAATGGTTTGGTACAGCCTTTCACAACTTGTGGTGCAGCAATCATGGCTGCTTTCATTTGTCCAAAACATGTTTTTGTAAGTTGTGTGGCTCATTGGCATCTAGGTATTACCTCCTCATCTGCCCTAGGCTAACTATAGACATTAGCTCAGGGTAAAATATACACATTTTGATAATAGAAGATTTTACATGCATTGAAAACATAACACAGAAGTAGGCTTATTGTATTTGCTTGAATAATAATAATAATAATGAATACAATGTTTGCCATTTGTTTGTCATGTGACTTTGTGGCCTCTATTGATATTGATATTAATTGAATAAAACATTTGGGAATACCAATAACTATATCGATTTATCGTTTGATTGATTACTTACATGAACTTGTTTCGGTTCCACTCTCTGTGGACTGAGCATGCCCAAAGGCGGGTTGGGTTTTTGTGGACTTGAAGATACCTTCTTACTCACAGCTACCTGGATGGAATCAAACGGAACCTTCGAGCCACAGGTAGGAAACCTGAGTAAAGAAAAACACAGAACTCATGATAAACCACAAGGAGCATGGAGGCTGAGGTAGAAACTCTGTATAAAGACAAGCAGAGAACTCTTGATAAACCACAAGGAGCATGGAGGCTGAGGTAGGAACCCTGAATAAAGACAAGCACATTTTACAGAATGGATGCACACCATTGTGTATGCTGGACCAACAGGTTAAATAAATCTTTTAATAGAAATTGTGCTCTAACATGCTTTCCACAAGGAGAGTATTGTGATGGAAAAGACTAGACACAAAGATATCCATGTTTTTTTTTGGTTTTTTTTTTGTTTTTTAATTTAAATAATCCCACCAACAGTGAAAAATTAACTATTTACAGGTAAGAAAAATGTCAATATATATTCACAAATATCTATATTAAAATACAATACATAACATGGAAACAAGGGAAAATCAATAACCAGAAGGAACAGCATGTTAATAATAAAAAAATAAATAATTAACAAAAACTGCAAAATGAAGTATTATCCACTGATCTTTATGATTTTGAATCTAGAAAAGCGAAAAATGGGACATTAAACAAGAGATGGTGAACGTACCTTATATAATCATACAAGTCACACCAATTGTCTCCTTTAGGCAGGTGGAAAGACATCTCCCTCGGTATTGGTGCAACCCCATGAGCCAGAAGACCTGTGTCCTTTGCCTTCTTTAAGCTAATACCAGGCTCATACTGCATGTCACTTGTAAATAGATTTTTCACCATGAGATTAGCACAGAGTCTTACATTCTTCAGGTAAGCATACTTGCGATTTAAGTACATGGAGAGAATGTACTGGAAGTCTAGCACAAGTACAGTCCACTTTGTGCTGTTTGGTGCTGGTCCTTGCTTCGCTGAAACCAATTAATCAACCAATAAATCAATAAATCAAATCATTCATGGCTAAAATATAAATAAATAAAATTTGATTTTTAAACGGCACCCCACCCTGCAGGACCATCTGCTAGGATTAGCCTAGCCTAAGCCCGGTCTAGCTGGGCCATTGAACTGAATTTGAACTACACACCACTTCAAATATGAGTGCTCTAGCTAATGATTGATGAGGCCAAGTGGGCAAATAATAGCTTGGATTCATTCCCATTTCATTTTTAAAACATACCATGAATACAGTTTAATATAGATGGAATCCGCTGTATCTTTTTTTCGTAAAAATTGTTTATTTATCCGGTTATTTGTTATTTGATGTCTTTAATTCCTTGTTGCTCTATATTTATTTTATGCCAAATAAAGAAATAAAAAAATACAAATTTTCACCTTGTTTATCTGCAGGTGCTGTGTAATGGTCAACAGAATCTTTGGCTGCATTACAAACAAAGGGTAGTTGAAGCCATGTTGAAGAACTCTTAAATTCCTTGAAAAGATTCGAGAATGAAATTCGAACGACGAGATCATCATCAGTAACCACATCCAAATGGACTACAAAGTACTTGCCAGCATTTGGACGGAATAGAAGGTAGAGGTAGCGGCCTGTGAGTCCCAAGGATTGTGTTGATGTCCGTGGAAGCTGGATGTAATTTCCGGCTGGAATTGATCCACTGATGCGATACACAGTACATTTCAAAGTTTTGTCCTAAAAATAAACAAAGAAAATTTTTTATTGCTTTTTATAGGAAAGGCTCCCGCTAATTTTCCTAAAGCTCGGTTCACATTGACGTATGCCCATATATAGTAATAACGTCCCTATATATGGTCATGATGTGATGTCATCATGACCATATATAGTCATGATATACTTATATATAGTCATGTTGTGATGTCATCATGACCATTATGCATGTCACATGTTTTTGTCAAATAAAATGTGACAGTCAAGACAGGACTGACCCTCACTTATCCATATGGAATCAGAATGGAATGACTTTCATTCATCCATGTGGTCTCTACTAATAATAGTAATTTGTGGCATTATTTGTATAATGGTAGTAAGGTATACCTATAAAAGGTAAAACATACTGTATCAAGCTCTAGGCAAAAGAAAATCAGAAATGTACTCCTTTTACAGACAATTTACAACACATTAATTGTAAATTCATTGTTTTTCAAAGATTGTATACAAAGCTCAGTGCATTCCTGTATGACATAGATTTTAAGGTTTTAGGTTGGTCAGCTTTGAACTGGGTAAAATTTTTTTGGCCTAAACTGACTTACCATCACAGGCATAACTTCTCCTTCTTTGCTTGACTTCTTCCATTCTTCAACGTGATAGTGTTTAAATAGATTTACAAAAGGATGCTGCCAAACTAAGTGTTAAGAATTAGACAAGATTCAACACCTTAAAAAATAATTCAAATTGGTTTAAATATATTTTTAGGTCTGGGCCCTTGGCCTAGACTAATAATAGTAAACAATGACCAAATTCAGAAATTGTCAACACTGTTTCCAAATTAACATGCATTCGTGACAAACTAAATTCTCACTGGTATTGTAACTGATAAAAAAAAAACTGTACTGAAAGAAGATTCAACACCTTAAAAAATAATTCAAATTGGTTTAAATATATTTTTAGGTCTGGGCCCTTGGCCTAGACTAGTAATAGTAAACAATGACCAAATTCAGAAATTGTCAACACTGTTTCCAAATTAACATGCATTCGTGACAAACTAAATTCTCACTGGTATTGTAACTGATAAAAAAAAAACTGTACTGAAAGAAGTAAGGACTTTATTAAGAAAAACAAAATAAAAAAAAAACTAATTTAATTCTGGATGTTAAAGGGGAATTTTGGGTATGAAATTTCTTATTTAAATCATGATGAATTATAAAATAAATCCTGACAAAAAAGTCACAAATTTAAGGGAGTAGAAAACAAATAAAACTTGATACCTCAAAAATTAGATTAATTTGCACAGAAAATCACTAGGAAAAAGGTTTGCAGAATCAAAAGTACTAACTGCATAATTAATACACTGGTTATATATTAAGATCAGGTCAAAGCCTAATTTTTGACAAAATCTACACTGAAACTGGTCCTTAAGCCCACCTCGGACAAGTCAAGCCCTCCCGTCAGACAGAGGTAGTCGGGCAGCCAGACCATAAAAAAACATAAAATAGACCCACACCAAGCCAACACTTGTTTATCACAGTGCCATTTCTGGCAAAAAAAGAATCTCATTTGGGAGAGAGAACCCCCTCTGGCTCGGGCCTATCTCATGTCCCCTTGTCGAACACCTTGTCCCACCCCTACCCCACTAGAAAATTCTAGAGCTACCACTGCCTAGGCTACTACCCTTGCTAGGCCATGCCCTAGCCTAAGCCTAGTAGTAGTAGTGCTGTAGTAGGCCCTGATTAAAGGATACCTTACCCGGAAGGAAGGACTTTGGCCCTACCTAAGGTACTGTACCTGACAAGAAATTTAAAACTTTACAAAATAGAATAATTTATACATTCAAGTAATTTATACAAAACAATCAGCAAATTATTTGCAATTTATTAGTAAAAAAATCATGAAAATCAACCAATGCATTAAATTTCTATAATTTTTTATGATACTAATAATTAATTAACAGTTTAGGAATAGGCGTTTTAATGGTAAAGACAAAAATTGTTGTGGCAGATGGGTGTGAAAATTTTATAAAATAATTATAATCTTTATTCTTGCTGTTGAACTTAATATATCCAAATATCTCTGATATAATAAGCCTCCCAGTACATTTCCAGGACAAACCCTGCTTCCAACCTCCACCCCAACCCCAGGGGACCCTTTTCGCTTCTCCAGCACCCCCTTGACCAGCATGTCATTTGAAAGCACTTTGCTTCATGAATCTAATTATTTTGTTTATTTGCAAATATAAAAAACACAACTGTTAAAATAAAGATAATTATTACTATAGTTATTATATACAGTGAAACTGAGAAAAAAACCAACATTAAGTTATCTACCAACTAGAGGAGAAACACGTCCACCTGATTGGCCAAGCTACAAAATGTACCATTAGCCTACCAATATTATGACGGCGGCTTAATTCAAGAAAGAATTTTCCATCTTCAAGAATCGCCTTCTAATATACTAATCATAAACAAATACCTAGATATAAATAAGTGACAAATAGTACTTAATGTATCAAAATTTAATGATATATCTACTATTTGTAATATCTTTGCATAAAAATACATAATGAATCCATGTCTAGGGCCTAAACCATGAACAGAAATCGCTACGTATAACAGTGTTTTGCCTACATGGTGATTGGGGCCTAGGCTCCTAGGCATGTATTTTTGAGGACGGCCTGATAGGCTAAGACTAGGCCTAATTAAGGACTAAGTATATAGCCTAGAGGGCTAGGAGCCTAGGCCCAGCAGAGCTCCTGAGGCTAGCCTAGTAGGCCTAGCCTAGTACTCCAGCTAGGCCTAGGCCTAGGCCTGGACAGGCCTAGCTAGGCCCGCCTAGATACTCAATAAAAAAAAATACATACTTTTTGACATAATTCCAGATTCTCTAAATCTCTATGGTTATTTTTTGGAAAGAAAATTTGTGATGTTTCAGTATATTGTGTGAAGTTACACCAATATAATCTGTTTCAGAACCACAACAACTTCTTGTTTACCGCCATCCTTCAAATATGTAACAACTATTTTTACGGCCGCCGGAAAATACAATCAACAGTAGTTGAAACGTTAAAAGTCTAGGATTACACGCCCGGCTGTCTATCCGATAACTATGGGTTTTCAATGGTTTTCAACGATTCGTTACACAGCGCCACACAGAGTTCGGCACACGCTTGGAGCACTGGTTCCCGATCTCAGCGAAGAAGAAGATGAAGAAGAAGAAGAAGAAGAAGGAAAAAACAAACAAGAAGAAGAAGAAAAAAAAAAAACAAACAAGAAGAAGAAGAAAAAACAAACAAGAAGAAGAAGAAAAAACAAACAAGAAGAAGAAGAAAAAACAAACAAACAAGAAGAAGAAGAAGAAGACCTATACATAAATAATTTAGTTCTGTAGGTGCCCCTGGCTCCACCCACTGTTTCCCGTCGGGAAAATCAGCCATTCCCTTCTCCACCCCTCTCGGTAGCGAACGTCAGACGTACCGCCTGTCGGCACCACCGGGCAGAATAGTTTTGAGAATATTGTTGCTTCATTTTAGTAGGGATTTTTTTTTTTTTTTAATAAGAAACAGTAAAATTTTGCCTATACTCAGTGTACTTATTTTATTGCCGATTTCAGGCTAAAAATGTTATTTTCTGTTTTTATGATACACACTTTTTAAATATATATAATTATTATTGTACAGCAGTATATTACTAGACTGTACGCCATTATAGAGGATACTACATTGTCGCAAGTACTGAATATGTTACAGATAAGAGTAGTTGTTTGTATTTTGTGTTTTTTTTAAATTAAAACAAAAATAGGTACTAACTAAACCAAAGAGTTTCATGCAAATGTTTCATACGAAAAAAAATCACGGGTTGCCTGGGCCCCCTCGAATCCGCCACTGATTTTGCTTTCCGGATTTTCTGTAAATCGCATTCGTTATCTTAATTTGAAGTCGGCTCTCTACCGCATGTAATACGCCCTCTACAAATTTGCATATTTTTCATTTTTTGGCTCAAACTTTTTTTGAGTTATAATGTATTCATGGTGTTTGTCGAAACATCCAATTGAATTCAAGACAGATTCAGTAATAAAAGATTCACTAAACCACTGTTTTGCAAGTCATCATTTATTTTGAGTATGAAATTGTTGAAAGGAGGAATTCTTGACTACCTATCACTCTTGTGATCACTGCTTTCTACTCGGATCATTATTTTTTCATTCCGTTCTTATACCTCACTGCACCAATGCACGTCCGTCATCTCTGGCATAGTTAAATATTTCATGCTTAATAGGTCCCGATTATACGCATCTTGTTGTATACGATCCAGGCGACCGAACCCATTGACATGTATCTCCTGAGCAACAAGGCACCCCGTCCGGTACACAGAAATTGAAGTGATGTTTACATAACGTTTTCTATGGGGAAAAATAAAACGTTTGACTTTAATAAATAATATAATTATAGGCCTAATGCTATTAATTAATGTTTTATTATTAAAACATTAATTAATAAATGTTTTATTATTAAAACAAATAAAATAAAGCAAAAGAAATTTTGTATAACACATGTATCGGTATATGTCTTATAATAACATGTTCTGGTTTATTTTGAAACTGCCCCGCCACCGTCTCGCAACTTACTGGGGTACGTCCAGCGGCCTAGCCTAGCCCGAGCAGCAGGCTAGTGCCTCTGAGCTAGTCATGGGTGAATGCAAGGTGGGGAGGGGGTGTCGGGAAGGTGGTACGACCCCCTCCCATAACATTTTCAAAAGGTCCATATTTTTTCCAGACATTTTCCAGACAATTTGCCAATTGCGTGACTTAATCTATCTCTATTCCATCAATTCTGAAACTAAGCCTGCCATCCGCTTCAAGCTGGTGGCGCTGTAATCGATTTTCCTGTCTCCCACTGATAAGGTCCAAAAATTAGGATTACGACACACCCAGGAAAATCCTGGATACACCCCTGTTATGCCACCCTGACACTTGCACTATTTCCATTCCCGCACTGGTGCGCACTTTCAGTGTGCCAATGATTAAAGGCCTAGTTCAAACTAGGTGGATAAACCCGGCTCAACTCACCGGGTTTATCCACAGGCCAGTCTGGGTGGCTTATCTCAAGCTGGGCTGTGTTCCTATAGTAACTAGGCCTGACGTGCCATTGTGCTTTAATCGCTGCGGGGGGGGGGGTCTTGCATTGACTTCCGGTAAAAAAAATGACCAATCAGCATTCAACTACGTGTTCTGTGAGTGAGTGTACGTTTCGAGCGTAATGTTTCGACAAAACTCGTTTCCCGCTGGCTAATCCCACTAGTCCGGCAAAGTTAAGCCGGGCTTAACCTTGAGACAGGCTTATGTTAAGCCTGGTTGAAGGTTAAGCCCGGCTGAACGTAGCCTCAGTGTCAGACAGAGCACCGCGCGCACGCTGTACATACTGCGAAGTGCGTAGGCTCTGTAGTTCCCCAGTGGCAGTTGCCACAGTAAAGCTTTGCCCAGACTCAGTGTTCTTGTTGTTTTTACAATATTATAAGCCTCAGTTGACATAATATAGCCACAATTTGTTCTTATATTGTCATAATTTTTGAAGCAATTTCCGACTCAATATTGTTATAAAATGTGTTCTTATATAAAAGTAAAAATAGGAGCATGCGTATACTGCAGAAACTAGGTCAAAATTATTCTAAAAATAGTCCAATGTCGGACAAGGACGTGCTATCAGCTATTGGTCATCTGTAAAAACACGTAAGACCACTTACCAACTCCCTGACTAAACCACATTTACACTGTACTTAGCATGCCTCAGGGCCGGCGGAACGTTTTTCAAAGTTTTTTTTTGGGGGGGGGGGCACTTATAAGATGAATGGGAATATGAATCATGCAGAACTGGAATCAAATCTAGGAGGTAGGGGTCACCATTTACTATAAAAACGAAAGGGGATCCGGG